CGTGGAAAAGTATACTGGAAACACAGCAATAGGGAAGGATTTTCATTAATGGCTCCAGGAAGGAGAAAGCGAATCCAGTGGCTGAGAGGACTGAAGGCTAGGGAGACCTCGACGTTGACATCCTGTGACTTCCTCATCTCTCTCCTCGGGTATTTCAAATAGAGTCAGCGTACCTTGGCAAAACTTTGCACAAAACTCAATTACAGACCTTATACAGTACTATCGTTAAAAAATATTTTGCTCATATTTAGACTATAACCTTGAATACAGGGACCAGTGTCTTTACGGGCTTGGCCCACAGTACCAATACCAATTATGTGTTTGATGTGTGACTAGCAGAATTCCAATGTAAATACCTATGTACACATACTAGACTGTGAGCTGCTCAGAAGCAAGGGCTGTTTCATTCATCTAGTTTCCCCAGGACCATGAATAATATTTGGAACAGATGTAACTTTTAAATACTGAGTGAACAATTAGAATGAGTGAAGTTGGCTACTTCCTAAAACAATTTTGTGAGATTTTATAGTTTTATAACAAAGAATATGTATAAAATTTTATCAAAAAAAAATTTATTTTCCATATTGACAATGAAAAAAGGCAGCTGAAGACTGACCAAATAGCAGTGCTGAAGTATAAGAAAGAAATGCTTTACAGCAAATGTAGCAATCCAAGCAAGCATGTGAGGGGTTTTATAAAAGCGAGATTCATGGAGAAAGGCCAGTCATTTCATTTTTTCTTACTGGCATCTCTCTGAAAGAAGAGACAGTGGCTAATAAGAAGGAAAGCAGCATGGTGGTATTCAGATAGGAAACAGTCTAAAGAAGACTGATGTCACACAATTCAGTGAGAAAACTGGACTTTTCAACATCAGAATCTGGTACAGTGTTCCAGCTGGATAGCGAGGTGACCAACTTACAACATATAAGAATGAAATCTATAATAATAATGATCAATAATGAAAACAGTAAATTTGTAACCCAACTGGAAAAAAATCTAAAACCTATAAAGAAGTAATACTAGATAGAAGAAATACCAAATTTTAAGTATTTCCTACTTAGGAAATTTAAGATTTCATAACTAGGCTAGCAGAAGAATAAAGAAGTGTACAGATAAAGTTCACCAATGGCATATAATATGTTACAGAATTAATTCATATGACAATACTGGTTGTGCATTACAAGAGTCTGTTTGGGGAGAGTACAATGACCAAGGGGAGATGAATAAGGACACGCTAGGCGTCTAGGATTCAGAACTACCCACCCATTTTACTCACTGAAAGGTGGTAATAAGAAAGGGATAAAAAAATAACCAAAAGTGGTATAGAAATCTAGGACAGAGGTGGCATAGTTCTGGCATAGGCATATTCAATAAAATTTCTCCTTAAAATCTGACACTTACAAATCTATCCCTTGTTCTATTATTTCTTTTTGTTGCTTTAGGACCTCAAATTGTTCTGGATTATCATTGCCAGACATCTGTGTACTGTAGCTGCCTATCCCTGATGACGATGTTGACTCCAGGGAATTTAAACTTCCGTATCTGTTTATTGTCTCGGGATGTTTGATTTCACTTGTCTCTTGCTCTGAGGGTTTTTCCTGACCTGTCAGAAGAAAAACTGATACAGTAAAATATTCTGTCAAAGAAAAAAAAAGCATCTGAAAGGTAAAACAAATTTTTGAATAAGGGAAGATATTTCCATGTTGCTTATTTATGTAATACAAATAAAATATCAGGTGTCATAGCAGACAATATATCTTGATTTTAAAACACAATGCAAAAATGAAACAACACTGCAACTTGCACGTGTACAATTTGCACCATCAGAAGGAGCTCTTTTCTGCAGCTGCAGCGCTGAGTATCCACTGGGTCTTCTGTGCTCAGCTCATGCCTCACGAGGAACGGTTTCCCTCCTAGCACTCTGGACTAAGGTAAGACTAGTGTAGCCCAGCAGCTATGAGCTTTTCTCTGAATGAGTCAGGTAAATAGCAAACAAAGATGAACAATTCAACTTTCTTAAAACATACTGGCTTTTTATGTGTTTCTTCCATGATTATCTTATAACAAGCTACACAAATATGCTCCCCTTTAATGTGACATTCAAAATATTACTGGTAGGAAAATTTTAAAATACAGTTTGGATAATTAAGTTGGAAAATTACTAATTTTAAAGCTAGTTATTTAACTCATAGGGAATGCTTCTTCATCAGTTAAAATGAATACATACATCATGAAACCATTTAATGGCGTCTGTAACTATCCTCCAAAGTATCGTTTACTTAAAATGAAAAAAGAATTATAACTCAAAAAGTTCCCTTACCAAGAGTTGTCTGAGAGTTGGGATTCACATACTGATCCTTACTCCATTCAACCATACACTTCAAAATTGACACTAAGCATTCTAAACCTTTCTTCCTCAGGCTCAGTTCCTACAAAATAATTCGTAAGTTGAATAAAAGCAAAAATATATTTAAACGAACAAACATGGCTTTTCCTTGGCAAAGTTTAAATTTGAAAATGTTTTTAAAGTTCTTACCTGAACATTACTCATACCAAGTTCTTGACTGCCCCGTCCTTGAGCAATTTTTGATAGATCATTTACTAATCTTTCAAATATATTTGCTGCATTTAAGTCACAGTCATAGTTTACATAAATATCCACCACACTCTGAGCATCTGTAACAGCATAATACACTAACTTTAATAAAAAGCATCTAGTATATGAGTACATATGGCCACTTAAATATCTCATCATCAGAAAGATAATAATGAAAGATAATTTTAAATACCTGCACAAATCCTTGTCAGCGTCTGAATAACCATCCATTTGTGGTCAAATGAGCTGGTAGAAGTTTCCAATATGTACAGGAAAATCTCTTTAAAGAACACCTGGGATTAAGGGAAAACATCTGTTTAAAATGTTGTTTATTAATTAATGTTAAATATTCTAAAGCTGAAGAGCAGCGATGCGGACCCAGGCAACTCCTTCTGAGTTCACCTCTGAAACATGAGAACTAAAATAAACTGGGTGGGTGATGTAAAGCAGCTCTTGCAGTATCTATACTGCACTTCAAATTGTTTTTGTTTGCCATTGCACACCCACTACAAAAGAAATCTGCCGTGATTTGGAGTTCCTCAGGACAGACGAAATGATAATAAATGATCATTTCTTGAACATATTTACAAATCTATTATAGCCATGCTTCATTTTTTACCTCCTAAAAAAAGGATAATTTTTACTCTGTTTATCAGCTATAGTTTTCATACATTATAGTACTGGATGAGTCTAACTGTTCCTAGATTTAAATATAACTGTTATTCTAATCAACACAATAAAAAGGATCTAATTCCCATACGCTGTTCTATTTATATAATTACTCACAAAACTAGATAACTCTGTTGTCTGAAAAATACAAATGATTTCTCACTATTCTTTACACTAAATAATAGCAAGCACAAAGGAGTTAATCAACTAATGAAATACATTTCAATTTAAGAGCTAAGAATTTTCAGATTTAAAATTATTTCAGAAAAGTGTCTGCGATTTAAGAGGATGACTAAAAAACAAAAAGACCCCAACATACTGACATGTATGGGACGTTATGTATTATGCATCCAGAAATAATCATTTATAATGTAAGATGACTGATATCTTCTCCCCCCAAACTGGCTCAGGTACCCCTACAATATGCTTCTCTTTCATAACACTCATATGTTGAAATTTGTCAACATGGAAAACAACTGATCTTGCATTTGAATACGTTTATTATTTTTAAAAGCATATCTACACTTACCTCATTTTATCTCCCCTTGAGGGTCAACAGAAAGTGAAAAAAGCCTGATTTCTTTAAAAAATTAAAACACTATATAATTTTGTAACAAGAATTTATCATCTGTGAATAGACAAGAAATTTCTTAGAGGTATTTCCTTTTAAATTTATGTTTATAAAAATTTTGTATGTCAAATTTACCCTATAAAATAGTAACCCCAACTGAAATGATTTTTGTGAAATCTGGTTCCGTAAGGATACATATTTCCGACAGTCTATTAAATAGTCCCTTTACAAGTGGGACCCCAGTGTCCAGATACCTATAAGTAACTGCACTAACTCTTCCAGAGTTCTCTAATGTCTAGTTAAATGCATCATAATCAAAAGACGTACAGCTTGTTAAAGAAAAAAAGTTTCAAAAGTTAAAAAAAATCATTTCATTTGTAGTTCCTGAAGATAATGGGGGAAGATTATCTAAAAATAGCAATTACTTCTACCTAAATGCTTTGTATTCTTGAAACAGACATATGGTAAACTTCTAAAACTTTACAGGCACCAAAACTGTATATTTGAAGCCATTTCCCGTCCAAAAATATGGCCCAAATAAAAAATGTTTACCTTCAAACACCAAGGCCTTATTCTTATTCCCATAATAATGTTCTAAATGATTTTTGATATTACAGTATATTAATATAGGATCATATGACTATTATAACCATCTCTTATCTTGAGTTATGATTAAGTATAAGATTAATGCAAAAATACAACCTGCTTTTCATACCAAACACAATATCGAGGTGAAAACTGACCAGCATAAAAATGAATATTTCTAAAATACACAATATCCCAACCCAAATGATATTTTCACAAATGACAAGTTAGAAGAAGTACCCATTAAATCAGTAAAACATAGAGTATACTTTAAGATACTGAATTATCTGAAGGTGATAACAAAAGATAAGGAACTGGTATACCTACACTGTACATACATTGTTGGAAGATTTCCTAATTCAGTTTTGCTAAATCTCTGAAAATATTTTAGAACCTCATGACAGTTATTCTATTGCCAAAGATTACAGGGGAAAACTTTAAAAACATTATACATTTAAAAAAAGTACAAAGCAGAAATTAATACTTTCCTATGTCTTAAAATATAACCCAAAAAACTTAAATGGTTTCAAACCATGTAGATGCAGAACATATTTGGAACTCTCTTTCTTTTTAATTCAGTCTCCATAGAGACTGTCAAAAATTGCCAAAGCCGACTATATTTCATGTCATCACAGTATTGGAACGTTTTCAATTAACAATAATTGAGCCTTGGATAAACCTCATTACCTATGATACTAACACTCCACAAACCTGGAGCTTTCTTTTAACAGAACCAAATTCACTATTACAGACCACATATACCATAGCAGAGTTAATGTGAGAACCAAATTAACTCATAACACCTAGAATCATTCATTCAACTAGAATAAATTCCTTGAAGGCAGGGGCTGTGTCTTATCTGGTTTTGCATTCTTGGTGCTTCATTTACCCAGTGCCTAGCACTTCACAGGTACATCTTAACTGAATGAGAGAATGGTAAAAAAAAAAGGGGGGGTGGGGAGAGTATACCGTAACATTCAAATACTATTTCGCATTCTGAAAAACTTTCCAGTATATTAAAACACTGGTTTAACATGAACCAAATGAAAGAGTCAACAGTAATCTCACACTTTAATGACTAAATGCAAAACATACCTCAATTTGCATCTTCAGATGTGTCTTGAAGTTTGACAACAAAGTAAGAAATATTGAAAGAGAAAGCTCAAAAACCTCTGGAACAGATGAGACTCCATTTTTTGAGAGTGCAACACACAGATACTGCTTAATAGCATTAATAAACATCTCATTAGTCCTGAAAACAGGTCCTGCATTCTGCAGAATGGATAGAAGTAACTGCAATGAAAGAATCTTGGATCGCAATTCATGAGACCTAAAATGTAAAAAAGAAGGCACAGTAGATGAACAAATTTAGCATTATGGTAATAACTCCAAAGATATTTCTTGGTACCACATAATCTTAGAAACATTTTAAATGGAGAGAAAATGAACTCTAAGACATAGAAAAGAAAGTACAGTATGTAAATAAACTTAGCCATAAATAATGGATAACCACAAATGTTCCCTTCTACCACATAATTTTACACACTTTTTAAATGGTAAAAAAATCATTCACATTTTAGTAGTTACCAGGGGCTGGGGGGAGGCGTGCAGGGGAGAATGGGAGTTATTGCTAAGGAGGTCCTGAGTTTCTCTTCATAGAGATACAAAGTTCTGGAAACGAATAGCTGTGATGGTGGCACAACATGGTGAATATAATTAATTTCACCAAATCGTATACACAAAAAATGGTTAAAATGGCAAACTTTCTGTTACATATATTTTACCACAATAAATTTAGAAAAAAACAAACATACAAATGAACAAAACTAAAACTGGAAAAAAAAAAAAGAATGCATTAAATAAATATGCTTACTAGAAAAAAAAATCGTTCACAAATATTTAAGGTCAACCTATTTTTCCAATGGAAAAGAAAAAATAATTTGAAGAGGTATGCCTTGTTGCTTTCTTTGAGAACCATACTTCTGTTTAAAAATCAACATGAACGTCTTAAATTAAGTGCCATATTCAGTATATCATAGTTCCAATGTACTTTTTTCCTAGTTGCGCTACCTAAAAATCCTAAACACCAATAAAAAGTTTTGGTTACATCAACAATTTATAGCACTATTCCAAGCTTACTTTTTCAGTAACCATTTTGATTATTTTTGTTGTTCTTTTTTGAACTAAACACAAAGAGGCTTTTAGAACATTTCAAAACTATATTTCCTAATAGTTTACTCATTTATTCTAAATACTTTTGTAATGAAAAGCTGGAAAACAAAGTTTAAAGCTTAATTTAAAAGTAATATCTATCCTGAAAAACATACATATGCCGTGCTTCTGATCAATAGCTAGCAGTTTAATAATCAAATATCACAAATACAATTTCTTCTCCCATTGGAATAGGTCTCTTAAGCCTAACAGAAGACTGATCCCAGGCAACATGTTAAATGCAGGACACACATAATTGCCCTAGCAACTGGTTCTTTTCTTTTTTTTTCTGTTTGTTGAAATCCCAAATGCTGTATTCAGCCACATACATACAGAATAGTAAACTTAATTGCTACTGATTTCTACTTTAAAATTTTCAGTTATAAAAGTCAAGTAATTGAAGGACTACAGTAACTCTAACAAGCAATATTTAGTTTCATGTAATAGGGTATCACAAAAAACATTAACTTCTTTGAAATAAAATCAGAGCCAAAAGCATGGCTCATAATTATATAGTCATGCTTTGAAGAAGACTATTCTTGAGTCTAAGAATACGGGCACCAAATATATTACAACAAAATGCTCAGATGAATCAAGTTAGAATCACCAAGAGGTAAGGATCTGAATAGCTACAGGAAAAAAAGGTGAGCCAATTGAGCCACCACCAAGTTATCTCCCCTTTACGTTCTATTCCTCAAGGCTTATACACTACTTTTATTTACTAGTTTCGGTCACATTTATCACCCTTTTGTTCAATTCCCATGGTAATTAAATCTTGCAACTTATCATTCTCTAATATATGAGTTTTTGTTATAATAAGTATATTTTCTTTATATTTGTATCCCCATCATTCAAAATATGTCTTGTACATGGTATGTGCTCAAAAACAAGTGATGAATTTATTCAGGCATTCATCCAAACTTTTATGAAGTATGTGCTATTTACAAGGCACTAAGAATGAATAATCAAATGATTTCTTATCTTAATACACAATAAATTATGCTTCTGACTGGCAAAAGATGTGGGAAACCTCAGGTCTGTAGTTTTTGACAGGGTCGTTTCAGGGGTAACATCAGGTCTGTAGTTTTCACAGGGTAGTTTCAGGGGTAACATCATGTCTGTAGTTTTCACAGAGTAGTTTCAGGGGTAACATCAGGTCTGTAGTTTTCACAGGGTAGTTTCAGGGGTAACATCAGGTCTGTAGTTTTCACAGGGTAGTTTCAGGGGTAACATCATGTCTGTAGTTTTCACAG